GTTGCCGACCTTTTAGGGATTAGGGATTTGGAGATTTAGGGATTGATGAGGGATTGGGAGCGGGGAAGGATTGGGCCTCCGGTAACCTCACTCACACGGCGAAACACAACGCTGTGGTTGTTTCACGCCGGTCTTCTGTGAGGCCGTGGCATCACTCCGGTCGAGCCGACCCATTCGTGCCGAAGCATGGCTCTCCCACACTTAAAAATCGTCTGCCTAAAAATATCGCCCACAAAATAAAATTCAAATCAAAACAATCCATTCAACAGCATCCTGTACATTCACACGCACAAACAAATGACCGCGAACGCAAATCATAATCACATTCATTCACATTTTAAAAGTACTTTTACTTGATGATACAAAAGTAAAAATATTCACAAGAAGTCGACGAACTGTTTGAAAAAAAGTGAAAGGGTCTTAAAGAGTATGGAGTATTCAGCCTTTTTTTACCCAAGCACTTTAAGATATACCCGTATGTACATTTCGGTTATGAAAATTTAAACTTTAGCAACATGTAATACAGTTGATAATTTGTTGATGGATTTTGGCTTTAGTGTAGCTTGATATGCTTTGGAAGGTAAGTAATAATAAATACTTTAATTGGCAAAGATTGCGTGATGTGGGTGAAAAACTGTTCGGTACGAATGTGATACGTACATTATGGAGTTTGGGTGACTGTTATTGGAATTGTATTACGGTGGTTTCTTCTTGATTGTAGGCTTTTGATTTTAGTTATTGAAACTTATATTTTAATTGAAATTGGCCTTTATTTCGAAGTCATCAGTTTCATTCAATTGGACCGGGATTTGCAGGATGGGAAAAACGAGGCGTTAAAATATTTATTAAAATGTAGCTTAAACTATTCCTTGATAACAATTTGATCCGAAAACAATTGATTGTGACGGACTTTTTATTTCCATCCAAAAGTCAGCGTATGATTGTCTACGCTCAAAAAATAAAAAACTACAATTGATAAACGCTACAAGTTAAAAAAACAACACATACATGTACTAACTGTTAAACGAAAATCCTCTCCTAGCGTGGTCATGTGTCGTCCTCCATGGCATTCAACGTGTTTAATAGTAGAGAGTGATGGAGTCTTTTGCCATATCTTTGGTTTTTTGCCCTCGCTTGTGGCACTTTGCCTTGGATGGGGGCCCTTAACTTTGAAATCAACGTTGAGATTTTTCCGGCTATGTGTCAGAGCTAAAAACGAGACAATGAATACTTTTACCCCAAAGAAAGAGAGAGAGAGATACAGATACAGATAGAGATTTCCCCTAAGCCAATAGATCAACAAATCCATTATAAAAACATAATTGCCATATTGCTTTGTATTCTAACAAAAGTAGTTGGACCCTCTTTAGAATTACGTATAACGTAAACTTTCGGTTTTAGTACCTAATTGTTTGTTTAGATGTTTGGAAATATGAGTATTTGGTCGCCCAGATGCTAAAGCGTCCTCTTCTCATGCATAAGGGTGCGTGTTCAAACCTGGCAATAACCAATACGACTATTTTCGAGGTGTATGTCTTTTATATGATTATTTAGACACCACTGACTAGATAAATGCTGATAGACAAAGGCCTCTTCTCATACGGAGAAGGTTAGAGCATTAATCACCACGCTCAATGTGGGCTGGCGATTTCAAACTTATAATTAGAAATTATAAGTCCAGGTTTCCACACGATGTTTACCTTCACCGTATGTCAGTGGTGTCTAAATAATCATAGAAAGTACATATAACTCGGAAAAGTCACATTGGTACTTGTCAGGTTTCGAACTTACACCCTCGTGCATGAGAAGCGGGCTCCTTAATCTCCGGGCCACCACGTAACATTATTATATATTCATAGAATTGAATGGACATTTTTAAATAAATTCACAAAATTTCAATATTTTTCAATTAATTCAACAATATATTACAATCGCCTTGGCAAAACTCCAGAAAATTATATGTTTTTAAAGGTATTTTTATGACTAAGCTCAAAGAAAGCCAGATCCTGCTATTTGACGTTATGTAATTATGAAAGTAGAATGAATACTATGACTCAGCCTCGATTCGTGAGCTTTGCTTACCTACCTAGGGTTTAAGATAGTTACTAGCAAATCTAGCTCTGTTTTCTAAGTACTACCTAGATGCTCTCTAACTTTATTTAAGACTAAGGTTTGTTTTTGTTTAACGGAACATTGAGGAATAATAGTTACATAGTGGATTTTTCAAATTAAACATACGTACTTAAACAAATGTATACTATTAAGACATTAAGACATATAAATGAATCATTAATATAAAACAAAGTCACGAAGAACTTCCACGGGCGTGTATGTAGTGTGTTAAATGTCATAGTATGTTGTATCGTAGGTTCTGTTTCTATATAGGTAATTAGACTGCTATATCTATCTATATACAAATACATATCAATGCCGCATTTCGTTGTATTGTAATAACTAATTTAAGCTAATTTTGGTCTTGAATTATTCGTGGAAGTCCAGGGAACGTTTAGAAGGCCAAAACAAATAGTTATATTTGAGACACTACATAGTCCGTCAGATCAGCAAGTAGACTATAAAAGTGCCTTTGCGGAGCAAAGACGTCTTCTCCCATGGACAAGGTATAAACATTAATAACCTCCCTTGCTCATCAAGGTGCCCAATGCCCAATCCTTCTCCCCCAATCCCTCCTCAATCCCTAATCTCCAAATCCCTAATCCTTCAAAGGTCGGCAACGCACTCGTAACTCATCCGTTGCGGGTGTCTATGGGCGGCGCTGATTGCCTACCATCAGGTACCTAATCCATCTGCTCGTTTGCCGACCTATTACATAACGGTGGCAAACTATTATTTTGATTATAATAATCTGACTTCTAAGAATTGTATAAAATAAAAAAGACGAATCGTATTGCATTGCGAATATTTGTTCTCTTTTTTAAGATTTTTCCGTTCACAAAATTAGTGTTTTTTTAGCATATCTACTTGAAAAAGTAATAAAATTCATCCGTGTCTATCTACTTTTTTCAACAAGCTTCTTGCATTTTTACTCAACGTTTTTTGTTGGTACTTATCTACATTCGATTTTTTATAGCATGATGTTTTTTTACTCGAAATATTTTTCAAAATGAAAGTGTAAAGAGAATGTAGTATTTAACGGAACAAAAATAATAATTATTTATTGGAATACCAGTTTTATTTCGACGGAAAGTAAACACGAATAGAATGTACTGAAGGATTGGTAGCTAACATGCGTCTTATGCAATAAGTAAAAAATAATAAAAAAAAAGTTTATTTGCAATACAGGTTTTTGTGTTTACAATATTGTGATTGAAGCCTCCTTTTAAGCAAGATGTGCCTGTGTTAGGAGACTTTGCTCTTTTACAACAAAGCGTAGGTACGTAGTTATTATGCAAATATAGTACATGTTGGTGGGTTGAAATTATTCTAAAATTATGCTATTGGTTTATGAATTAACGGATCTGGATATTATCCAATCAAAGATAACTTATCAAAGACAGGGTATAGATGATGATGTGTGAAGTAGAAAATACCACAAGAATTATCTTTATACATATACATAATGTTGTACGTGTATATGTCATTGAAGTCATCCTAAACAGCTAGACCGATTCTAATTAATTTTTTTGTAAGATTTGAGTGGCGCCCTCCGTTAGATTCACAAATCAGCCCGACACATGAAGCTGGTTGCTTGAAAAATGGTTGTGATATCGGCAACGGCCCTAACGATTTCGCTGAAATTTGATATGTGGGGGTTTTCGGGGTGTGCCCGCTGGTATTTTTACACAATTATATTTTTGTTTTTCTATTAAGTGTCGAGCAATAACGTTCAGCAGTAAAAACTCATTTCATTTTATGACTTACTTAATTCGGCGATACAACGTTTTGGACTCTTTCACAGCATTTTAGGAGTAAAATCCAATACATTAAACCAAACTTGGGAACCTAGGGGTCCGTTTATAAGCAGTGAAGTAGTACTCGGGGTGGAGCTACACTATATCCACCCAAATCTGCAGCTTCTGCCCAGACAGATTTGCCGAGTTCGATGCAGCTTGACGGCGAGAACCTAACCTAATCTACATATGTACATAGGCATACATAGGGTTATTTAATTTTTATTTATTATATTATTTATTTATTGAGTAAGAAAATGATTAGTGATTGGTACTCAATAAGCGGATACAAAGGTCACTTGTCCCTTTTTTCCTTTCAAAACAGAATTATTTTATACCTAATATTGTAGGTGCACAGACAAAAAGTCATTCTACCAATGGCATTCATATGTGGATTTTGCAATACTACAATACTAATCGGCAATTTATTAAAAGTATTATTATTATTGTGGTCATCTTAAATGTGCATGAGAAAGTGCATCTTCTGACGTCATCTTTTTTCTTACGTTTCCAAATATTCATTTTGTATGTCAGGTTAAACTCCAAATACTGTGGATGGAATTTTTAATATTTCTTTTACTTATGGTTTGCAACTAGAATTCTCTATTTTCATTTGCTAAGGTATTTATCCTAATTGAACTATCATGTTTGTGTTATAATTCAATGTATTAAATTTTCTGCATGTTATTTCTATTTCATCATTCTATTTATTACATGATGTACCTAACCTTTATGTTTTATATTTATCTCAATATAAAACACATTATCATGCCACACCTCCAGACCCACTTCATTCGACCCAGACATTCATAGCACAAACCAACAACAAAAGCACAGACACAAACAGTTATCCATAAACTAATTCCCAACCCAACAATAACGATTAAAACGCATGAACTTTCGCACTACACTAACCTACTCAAAACTAGTTCAGTCAACCCAACCCAGTTAGGGACGACCGCCAAAACATTCGCACATCAAGTCCCAGGTTCACGACCTTTGCAATGACCGCACATACCTCTCGTTATGAAACCTGGACGTTACTTTTACTTCCAGGCTGAGAAAGTCTATTTCGGAGGTTGCCACACTTGAGGGAGGCTATATAGGAGCGCTGCGGCAGCCGGCGCGCAGACGTAGCTAACACTCACGATGAGACGGTCGACAGTATTGCTCTTTTTATTCGCGGTCGCGCACGCGCTTCCCGCCCAAGACTCGAGCCACTCAGACAACGACATCGACGGCCTCACAGACTGCCTCAGAAAGGAATCCACAACATGCCTCAAGTACAAATTCTTCTCGTTCGTCGACAAGATGATTGGACAAAAGGAATCCTTCTCACTCACCGATGGAGTCACCGTCGTCAAGTCCGGTGATGTGCCCACCGACACTGGAGCCCCGAGAGCCCTAGATCCTGTTTCGCGGTTGAAGAACTACTTCGAAACGCATTCCTTAAGAGTAGAAGTGAAAGGTTCGGATGTGATTGATGCGGTGTCAAGTGCAGGGCGCGCGCTCGAAGATACAGTGTCCTCGTTTACTGAAGACAATGAAGTTAGTGAAGGTCGTGGGAAGAAGAAGAAGGCGGCAAAGATTCTGGGGCCATTGATCGCGGCGGTGGCTCTGAAGATGATGGCGCTGATGCCGCTGGCGATTGGAGCGATCGCGTTGATTGCAGGAAAAGCGTTGTTGATAGGAAAGTTAGCGTTAGTGTTGTCGGCGATCATAGGGTTGAAGAAGTTGTTGTCGCAGCAGAAGCACGTGACGTACGAAGTGATCGCGCATCCGCACCACACGTCGAGCCACGACTACAGCAGTGGCGGCACGAGCGGGTACGGTGGAGACTCGGGCGGGTCCTACAGCAGCAGCGGTAGCGGAGGAAGCGGCGGGCACGGCGGCGGCTGGGGTCGCTCGCTCGAAGCTCAGAGCTTAGCGTATTCTGCGCAGAAACCTTAGCGACCCGGTTCCGTGGCCCCTTTCCACTGATTTCTCCGATCTTCAACGTATTTAAGTATTATTTATTTTGTATGGATGTGAGTGTGCCTGCTATTTATTGAATGATTTATTTTATAATTTATCAACGTCATCCCATGGTTCGCTAATTGCGATGACGTTTTGCCGTTTTATTTCTTAGTCACTTCAAGTCATATTATTGTTATATTTCTATAACTTAATGTATTTTTTTGTTGTATATGTATATACTATGTGTATTGTAGTATTTAGTGGGTAATGTATATTATTATTTGAAACTCAGTACCTGGCTTTAATATTTTTAAGTAATAATTATGTAAGACTGTTTATGTAGTATATTATTTTTTGTATTTTGTATATATATTATATTCCCCACGAGTATGTTAGTGACAATTATATTTTTATAAATGTATGTTTATAGTATTATATAATTATTTAGCAAACTCTTCCTAAATACTCATAATTTAATAATTTATTCGTTGTAATAATGTAATTAACGATACAAAGATGTTTATTGTTATAATTATTACAAATAAAGACATGCAATGCAGGTTTGTTATTTTATTATTTATGTAATAGTGATAAATCTTGCTCAATAAATGTTTTGAAAAATAATAATTGTACAATCCATGTTTTCCTTACGTAAAAATTATGCGTTCCCAAAATGACATTTCTTCCACAATATCACTTACATAATTATAACTTTAAGAATAATTTTCCTTGTAGCTCACTAAGCTATATAAACAATTCAATACTTGTACCTTTTTTTTATTATACGATCTATTAAATTCATACTATTTTCTACATATCTTTGAAACAGAAAAAACACTTACTGATATATACATATATTAATTGATTACCATATATAGTATTATGCATATATAGTATTTTAAACTCTGATTAGGTATAGATAATTATCAAAATACTAATGATGGTATTGAATTTTTCAAAGTGTTAGAAAACTGTTACCCAAATAATACTTAGGTTTTGGTTGGTTAAATACCTAGATATTTTGCAAAATATTTTGGTAAATAATACTTACATAATATTTTATGATTATAAAATTTTACGTGTGCCAAAGAATTTTGTGTGAATTTTGTTTGAGTAACAAACAGGGAGAGCGATTACAGAATTTGACAAAGTTGATTAAAATAGTAGGTGGCAATTTAGACTTTATTATTTGTTTATTAGCAGAGACTTTTGACCTGTAGTCGGAATATGTACACACACCTCCTGTTATGCAACTGTTTAAGGGTAGATGTTAAATTTTATCATTTGTTTAAATTTTCACATTTTAATACTGGATAAATAATACACGAACCGAGGCTCCTGGTAGATTTGATGTTTCCGGAATCACTAATAACAACATTATGAAGACATTAAGTGTGGGAACACCATGCCTCGGCACGAATTGGTCGGCTCGACCGGAGTGATACCACGGCCTCACAGAAAACTGGCGTGAGACAACAACAGCGTTGTGTTTCGCCGTGTGAGTGAGGTTGACGGAGACCAAATTCTTGCCCTCCCCCAATCCCTCCCCAATCTGTAAATCTCCAAATCCCCAAACCTCAAAATGTCGGCAACGCACTCGTAACTGCTTCTGATGTTGCAATTGTCCATGGGCGGCGCTGATCGCTTACCACTGATAATCCGTCAGTTCATTAAACGACCTATCACATAAAAAGAGTAGTAAATCTAAATCTACATTTGATGTTAAATTAAAAATGTTTTAATTTATACTAAAATAAACAAAAACATCGAATATCTCATCATCTCATTGCGGTTGTAAGATAGGATGCCAAAAACACTGGCAGCATATCAACTGCTTCGATGAATTCAGCTACACTTTTATGCAAGGCGTCAACCATTATTTTGACAATATCTTTATAAAGAAAATATACAGCGACATATTCTACGATACATGTTCTACCAATCCCACAAGCATTTAGACAGTTTTAATATTATTGTGACAGAAAACTCTTTGACATCATGACGTCAATGGATGGTTGTCAAACGTTGCCTAGAGATTGTAAATTTCGTCGTGAATTGTCAACACGAGTTGGTGTAATCGGTAAGGCGTGTGGATTACACCACAGAGACCCCGAGTTCGAGTCCCGCCGTAAACATGAAGTTTTTTAGTTGATGGAAATTTTGTCGAACTTTCTGGAATATTTGAGTGAAAGTAATGAAAAATTAAAGAGCGAGAAGGAGAATAAATAAAAATGAATAACGAAATTATTGGAAGGTTCTGGAGGCATGACGATCAAAAAGAATAACGAAATTGAATGTTCTAGAACCTGACCGGGGGTATATAAGCGGAACTGCGGCTCACCGCTGGCAGTTGAGTTCTAAGTCCAAAGCGATTCGGAAGAAAAGGAAGAAGTGAAAAGAAGAAAAGTGAGTGAAATAGTGAAGTACAGTGAAATAGTGAAGTGCAGTCAGTTAAGTGAGTTAAGTCAGCGTGAACAGTGAACGGCAAAGTTGTGTCAGTCGGCCGGACTCTGCTGGAGAGGAACGCCGATAACTTATCCGTATCCGTGGACGCTGTCACTTAAGTGCAATAGAAAGTCTGAAAACCGGTATTAGTGTTTAATTTCATCCAATCCCGTAACCCAAGCCCGCATAGTTAGGAACGTGACGTCAGGCACGTAACATTTGGTGTCAGAAGTGGGATTGGAGAAAAATGCCGCTAGTGCCGCAGGACGTAAGAGGAGTGAGTACCCGTGCTATGTCAGAAGCGCAGCGTGTGAGGGAAGAGGAAGAGGGTGCTGCAGCTCAGACCAGCGATGCAGAAGCCAAGCCTGTGCAGATGGATCTTCTGCTACAGCTGCGGCAAATGATGGCAGAACAGCTGCGTGAGCTGAAAGAAGATCAAGCGCGCCGCCAAGAAGAGCAAGCAAGCTGTCAGGCAGAACAGCTGCGGGAGCTGAAAGAAGATCAAGCGCGCCGCCAAGAAGAGCAAGCGCGCCGCCAAGAAGAGCAAGCGCGCCGCCAAGAAGAGCAAGCACGCTGTCAGTCAGAACAGCTGCGGGAGCTGAAAGAAGATCAAGCTCGTCGCCAAGAGGAGCAAGCGCGTCGCTTGGAAGACATGCATAAAGATTTCACGAAGGGACTGCAAAAGGCTGTCGAACGGGTACAAGAAGTGGAGGAAGGTTTAGGCAAGTTGGAACATCGCGTCATGGCGATAGAGGAGAGAGTGGAAGAAGAGATCTCCAAAATCAAGCAGGAAATGACAAGCCCAAGCCCTTTGAAGAGCCGAAGCCGTCTTGCAGCCGTTTTTGACGCCCCAAATGCGGCCTCAAGCGCAACGAAAGGGCTGAAGATTCCCCATTACGACGGAACAACATCCTGGACCGCGTTCAAGCTACAGTTTGAGACACTTATGGAGGCTTATGGTTGGACTCAGAAGGAAGCACAGTCAGCCCTCACCCTGGCCCTCCGTGATCAAGCGCTCTCAGTGCTGGAAGCTATCGGCGCAAGTGGGGATCTCAGCTTTAGTACCCTCCTCGACGCACTTGAGGCACGTTTTGGAGACAGCCACCTCGAGCACGTGTACAGAGCGCAATTAAAAGAGCGTACTCAGCGTGCTAATGAGAGTCTACAGCAATGGTCCGTGGAAATCGAGAAACTTGTGCGTCGAGCTTTTCGGTCGACTCCATCAATGATTGAAGGCACGCTTCTCCAAGCATTCATTGACGGTGTTCGGGACCCCGAAGTACGAGCTGCTGTTCATCTGGGCCATCACAAGAACATGAAAGAAGCTCTGGCCCATGCATTGGAAGTGGAAGCCGTGCGTGGTAACTCCCGTACCTTACGTCTGCGGGAAATGACGACAACGGAGCAGGTACCTCCACGCCGTCGGAACTTCATGTGCTATGGATGCGGAGAGCGTGGGCACATGCGGAGCGACTGCCCGAAGAAGGTGAACCGCCAGGACGCAGCGGTCTCAACTTCTGACCAGCAGGGAAACTAAATCCAGCCAGGGCTGCGGGGTGGGCGCTGGCCGGTAGTGGAATAACCCCAACAATCTACATCAAGCAAACTAACGATGGAAATACTCTGGTGATAGACGGTCAAGTAAATGGGAAAAACAGTCAGCTAACATTAGATACTGGAGCTTCAAGGACGGTGATAAATGTTCGGCTGCTCGGGCAAAACATCAGGAAACACGTTAAACCAATTGTTGGCCTACGAATGAAATCAGCTACCGGCCAGTGCATACCGATAAGTGGAAAACTGCATGTAACAATCAAAATTGGGGAACGTGTTTATCGACATGAGGTTATTGTGGCCAAAATTCTGGATGACTGCATCCTGGGACTTGACTTCCTGCAAGGGCACCAGTGTAACATCGACTTAAAATCTGGAGTATTACTATGTGGAACTGAGGAAATTCCGATCAAGGGTGGAACCCTGGGAAAAGTTTGCTGTTTAAGAAGAACTGTTCTTGAACCAAAATCACAGACTCTCGTACCAATCGCATTACCTAGGAGGAGGGAAGGAAGTTTACCTCTAAGGTGCGCTGTGATTGATAAATCGGAACACGTAAACTCATGGCTACCGGCGAGAACTGTCGTGGGGTCATCTGATGTCAACCGCATTCCGGTATTCAACTTCAGTGATTCAAAAATTACGATTGAAGAAGGAGAGCCTGTGGGCGTATTGGAAGAAGTGGCCTGGATAAGAAAATGCTCGGAGAATCTTGTGAAGAAGGACAGTACGGGAATGGACTTTGTAACGAAAATCTTAGACGAAAACAAAAGTCTGACAAAAGTGGAGACTATGAAAGCTAGAAATTTACTTCTTCGATTCTCTGATGTGTTTTCAAGAAGCGATGGTGATATTGGCCGAACTGGTTTGGTGAAACATAAAATAAACACAGGTGATACAATGCCAATTCGTCAAAGGCCCAGACGCATACCATTCGCTCGTGAGAAAGAGGTTGAAGAAATGATTGACGATATGAGGAAAAATGACGTGATAGAGCCCTCTTCTAGCCCTTGGTGTTCACCTGTCGTGCTTGTCAAGAAGAAAGATGGTTCAACGAGGTTTTGCGTAGACTATCGACGATTGAA